CTATGTGGGCAGGGAAAATCAGCATGGCATTGTTTCTGGCAAGTAAGGTGGCCCCTCCCGCCTTGGGGTTGCCCCAGAAGTCCGCGCGCGATGTGCGCCGCGCCCCATTCCTGCCACGCATGTCGCATCGTCGACGACAAGACAGGCCATGATGGAAGGAAAAACGGCAATTCTGTATTGGTTTTTACAGTCAGGATGGGAGGGCCCGCGGCCCGCATGGACGTCCGCGCGCGATGCGCGCCGCGTCCCGTTCCGGCCACATATTTCGCACCGTCGGCGACAAGGGAGGCCATGCTGAGAGGAAAAAACAGAAACTTTGTATTGATTTTTTACAGTCAAGGTGGGCGGGCCCAGATTCACTGCCGCGCGCGATGTGCGCCGCGTCCCATATGTGCGCCGCGTCCCACTGTTGCAACATATTTCGCACCGTCGGCGACAAAGCAGGCCATGCTGAGAGGAAAAAACTGGTACTTTGTATTGATTTTTGCAATCAGGGTGGGCGGGCCCGGATTGACGGCCGCGCGCGATGTGCGCCGCGTCCCATCTGTGCGCCGCGTCCCAGTGCTGCCACATATTTCGCACCGTCGGCGACAAGGCAGGCCATGCTGACAGGAAAAAACGAAAACTTGGTATGGATTTTTTACAGTCAGGGTGGGCGGGCCCAGGTTGACTGCCGCGCGCGATGTGCGCCGCGTCCCATTCCTGCCGCGCTTTTCGCATCGTCGACGACAAGAAAGACGATGTTGAGAAGAAGAACGGCCACTTTGTGCGGATTTTTTAAAAGTCCCGATGGGAGGTCCCGGATCGGGTTGCTATCAGCCGGAATACGATGTAGGTGGGGGTATATTCTAGTAGGGAACAAGGATGTGGGTGTGCGTGTGCGCGTGCGTGTGCGTGTGCGTGTGCGTGTGCGTGTGCGTGTGCGTGTGCGTGTGCGCGTGTGCGTGTGTGCGTGTGTGCGTGTGTGTGTGTGTGTGTGTGTGCGTGTGTGCGTGTGTGCGTGTGTGCGTGTGTGCGTGTGTGTGTGTGTGCGTGTGTGTGTGTGTGTGTTTGTGTGCGTGTGTGTGTGTGTGTTTTGCGTTGTGTGCGTGGCGAGCGGTGTGCGGTTGTGCGTGATGCGTGTGCGTGGCGTGAGCGTGTGCGTGTGCGTTGCGTTGTGTGTTGTGTGTGTGTGTGGGTGTGGGGTGGGTGGGGGACGGTGAAAACAAGCCACTCGATCGAGACATCCGCAAGGCAAATGGTGCCCATTCCCACCCGCCCTCCCACAACATAAGAAACAGTGATGGCACAATTGGGGGCTGCGCGGGCATTTCAGTGCGAGTGGAGGATACCCCAGGACACCGCATTGACGTCCGCGCGGGCTGTGCGCCGCGTCCCATTCCCGCCACGCATCGTCGACGACAAGATTGGCCATGTTGAAAGGAACAACGGACACGTTCCGCCCTCCCACAACATAAGAAACAATGCTGGCGCAATTGGGTGTTGGCGCGTAGTGGTGGTGGTAGTAGTAGTAGTAGTAGTAGTAGTAGTAGTAGTAGTAGTAGTAGTAGTAGTATTAGTTGTAGTAGTAGTAGTAGTAGATTTTGTTGATTGTTGTAAAGTTTAGTAATTGGTACTAGAAAGTCTACAGTGGTAGTGGTGAGGGTAGTGGGTAGGGTAGAGGGTAGCGTGGTAGTGTTAGTAAGTAGAAGTCAATGATAGTAGTAGTAGTAGTAGTAGTAGTAGTAGTAGTAGTAGTAGTAGTAGTAGTAGTAGTAGAAGTAGTAGTAGTAGTAGTAGTAGTAGTACTACTACTACTACTACTTGTACTAGTAGTAGTAGTAGTAGTAGTAGTAGTAGTAGTAGTAGTAGTGGGGATACGAATAGGTAGTAGTACTAGTAGTACGAATAATAATACGAGTAGTATGAGCAGAAGTACTACATGTGGTACAAGTACTCGTACGAGTAGTAGGACAGAGTAGTATCACTATGGAAGTAGAAGTGCTAGTAATACTTGTACGACTGCTACACGAGTAGTAATGCCATTGGTAGTACAATGTGCAGAACAAGTAGTAGCAGGAGTAGTAGTAGTAGTAGTAGTAGTAGTAGTAGTCGTACCAATGGTACTAGTAGCATTAGTCAGGATGGGAGGGCCCTCAGCCTGCATTGAAGTCCGCGCGCGATGTGCGCCGCGTCCCATTCCTGCCACATATTCCGCACCGTCGGCGACAAGGTAGGCCATGCTGAGAGGAAACAACGAAGACTTTGGATTGGTTTTTACAGTCAGGGTGGGCTGGCCCAGATTGACTGCCGCGCGCGATGTGCGCCGCCTGCCGTTCCTGCCACGCTTCTCGCATCGTCGGCGACAAGAAAGACGATGTTGCGAAGAAAAACGGCCACTTCGCATTGATTTTTGACAGTCCAGATTGGAGGTCCCGGATTGGGTTGCTATCGGCCGGGATACGAGGCAGGTGGGGTATAGAATACTAATAAGGAGCAAGGATGTGGGTGTGGGTGTGGGTGTGGGTGTGGGTGTGGGTGCGTATGTGTGTGTGTGTGTGCGTGTGTGCGTCTGTGCATGTGTGTGTGTGCGTGTGTGTGTGTGTGTGTGTGTTGTGTGTGTGTGTCTGTGTGTGTGTGCGTGTGCAGGTGTGCAGGCGTGCAGGTGTGCAGCTGTGCTGCTGTGCTGCTGTGCAGGTGTGCAGATGTGCAGGTGTGCAGGTGTGCAGGTGTGCAGGTGTGCAGGTGTGCAGCTGTGCAGCTGTGCAGGTGTGCAGGTGTGCAGGTGTGCAGGTGTGCAGGTGTGCAGGTGTGTAGGTGCGCAGGTGTGCAGGTGCGCAGGTGTGCAGGCGTGCAGGTGTGCAGGTGTGCGAGTGTGCAGGTGTGTAGGTGTGCATGTGTGGGTGTGGGTGTGGGTGTGTGGGTGGATGTGTGGGTGTGTTGGTGGGTGTGTGGGTGTGTGTGTGTGTGTGAGTGTGTGTGTGTGTGTGTGTGTGGAGAGCTGGGAGTGATGGTAGCCGACGACGCGTGAATCCTAGAATGGGCAGTGCGTGAATTGCGGGTGCGTGAGTGCGGGTGTGCGTGGTGCCGGTGCGGGTTGCGGTGCGGGTGCGCGTGTGCGTGTGCGTGCGCGGTTGTGCGTGTGCGTGGGCGTGTGCGTGTGCGTGCGCGTGCGTGTTGTGGGTTTGGGTGTGGTTTGGGTGTGGGTGTGGGTGTGGATGGGGTGTGAGGGGTGATGGTGAGGGTGGGTGTGTGTGTTATTTGTGCGTGTTGCTAAAAATGCGTGTGCCGTGTGCGATGTGCGTAGTGCGTGTCGTGTGCGTGTGGCGTGTCGTGTGCGTGTTGTGTGTGTGTGAGCGTGTGTGCGTGTGTGCGTGTGATTTGCTGTGTGTGTGATGGCGTGCGTGCGGTGCGTGTGTGCAGGTGTAGCGTGTGTGCGTTGTGCGTTGCGTGCGTTCGTGTGTGTGCGTGAGCGCGTGCGATGTCAGTTGTTTGAGGTGCGGCGTGTGGTGTTTGCGAGATGTGAGCGTGTGGGTGTGGTGTGTGTGTGGCGTGTGTGCGTGTGGCGTGTGTGCGTGTGTGCGTGTGTGCGTGTGCGCGCTGTGCGTGTGCGTTTGCGCGTGCGCGTGGCGCGTGCGCGTGGAGCGTGCTCGTGCGCGTGGCGCGTGCGCGGGTGAGCGTGTGGGTGTGGGTGTGCGATGTTGCGTGTGCGTGTGCGTGTGTGCGTGTTCGGCGTGCGTGGGCGTTTGCGTGTGCTTGTGCGTGTGCGCGTGCGCGTGCGCGTTTGCGCGCGTGTCTCGCGCGCGTGCGCGTGCGCGTGCGCGCGCGTGCGCGTGTGTGTGTGTGTGTGTGTGTGTTGTGTGGTGTGTATGGTTTGTGTGGTGTGTGTGGTGTGTGTGTGTGTTGTGTGTTGTGTGTGTTGTGTGTGTGTTGTGTGTTGGGTTGTGTTGTGTTGTGTTGTGGTGTGTTGTGTTGTGTTGTGTGGTGTGGTGTGGTGTTGTGTTGTGTTGTGTTGTGTTGTGGTGTGGTGTGGTGTGGTGTGGTGTGTTGTGTTGTGTTGTGGTGCGTGTGTGTGCGTGCGCGGGTGTGGGTGCGGCTGCAGCTGCGGCTGCGGCTGCGGCTGCGGCTGCGGCTGCGGCTGCGGCTGCGGCTGTGGCTGCGGCTGCGGCTGCGGCTGCGGTTGCGGCTGCAGCTGCGGCTGCGGCTGCGGCTGTGGGTGTGTGTGTGTGTGTGTGTGGGTGTGGGTGCGGCTGCGGCTGCGGCTGCGGCTGCGGCTGTGGCTGCGGCTGCAGCTGCGGCTGCGGTTGCGGGTGTGGGTGTGGGTGTGGGTGTGGGTGCGGGTGCTGGGGGTGCGGGTGCGGGTGCGGGTGCGCGTGTGCGTGTGCGTGTGCGTGTGCGTGTGCGTGTGCGTGTGCGTGTGCGTGTGCGTGTGCGTGTGCGTGTGGGTGTGCGTGTGTGCGCGTGCGCGCGTGCGTGTGCGCGTGCGCGTGCGCGTGCGCGTGCGCGTGTGCGTGTGCGTGTGCGTGTGCGTGTGCGTGTGCGTGTGCGTGTGCGTGTGCGTGTGCGTGTGCGTGTGCGTGTGCGTGTGCGTGTGCGTGTGCGTTTGCGTGTGCGTGTGCGTGTGCGTGTGCGTGTGCGTGTGCGTGTGCGTGTGCGTGTGCGTGTGGGTGTGCGTGTGTGCGCGTGCGCGCGTGCGTGTGCGCGTGCGCGTGCGCGTGCGCGTGCGCGCGTGTGCGCGTGTGTGCGCGCGTGTGCGCGAGTGTGCGCGCGTATGCGCGCGCGTGTGTGTGCGTGCGTGTGTGTGCGTGTGTTTGCGTGCGTGTGTGTGTGCGTGTGTGTGTGTGTGTGCGTGTGTGTGTGTGTGCGGGTGTGTGTGTGCGTGTGTGTGCGTGTGTGTCTGTGTGTGTCTGTGCGTGTGTCTGTGTGTGGTCTCAGTGTGTCTGTGTGTCTGTGTGTCTCTGTGTGCCTCTGTGTGTCTCTGTGTGTCTCTGTGTGTCTCTGTGTGTCTCTGTGTGTGTCTGTGTGTCTCTGTGTGTCTCTGTGTCTCTGTGTCTGTCTGTGTGTCCGTGTGTCTGTGTGTCTGTGTGTCTGTGTGTCCGGGTGTTTGTGTGTCTGCGTGCCTGTGTGTCTGTGCGTCTTTGTGTTTTCAACGACGCGAGCATCTCTGGGGCCTCGTCCTGGAGGAGAGCGGGTCGGACAACGACCAGCCCGCCGTCTCGCCAGTGCACCTGGGCGGCAGCTGCGAGGCGCCCGCGCCGGCCGAGGCCGCGCCGCTCGGGGCGCGGAGCCCGCCGCTCGCGAAGCGGTCAGAGCTCGCGCGGGCGCTGCCGCGGGGCAGCGTGCTCTGCCCGCTGGCGCTGGAGCTCAGCGATCGGCGGCGATTTACCCGACCCTCCTCCCTCCTCCTCCCTCCTCCTCCCTCCTCCTCCCTCCTCCTCCTCCCTCCTCCTCCTCCTCCTCCTTCTCCTCCTCCTCCTCCTCCTCCTCCTCCTCGAGCCATTACGGCTCAGGCGCATGTTGCACCACCTGAGCTGCCCCAGTACTTTCCCGTGGTGCTTGAGGAGTTCCCCCGCAGCAAGACCAGTTTCTCGCCTTTGGGGTCAACCAGAGCTGGGGCTCATGACTTTCCCTTCCCGTCGCTCGAACAGGCTTTGGAGCAGATGCAAGGCCTGCCACGCATGCGAGTACAACGATCGGCTCGACCCAGATCAGCCGCAATGTCCCCGCTGCAGTCGGCCAATAAGGATCCATCGTGCTGGACGCTCGAGATCGCCGTCGGTGGTGCGGTTCAACGAGCAAGCCGAGGTCATTGACAGCGACGGGACCACCACCACCCAGCGCGGGGGCCGAGGCTCATCGCGCAGCCGCGGCGACCGTGACCATAGCGGCAGCCACGGTGGCGACCACCTGTCCGCTCATCTACGACAGGCGCTCGCTGCCACTGCTGACAATGCAGCGCAGCCCCGCGGGTCCGAGGTCGAGTGCGCGCGCCAAGCAGATGGAGCCTGGCGCGCCGCGGTCAACCGACGCACGCAGATTGTCAACAATGTGATCAAGGTCCGTGCCAGAGTGGCCGCGGCAGAGGCCAAGGAGGCCGAAGCCGCCATGCAGGTGGCCAAGACGGAGTCCGTGAAGAAGAAGGCAGCCATCCGAGGCACTCGCCAGAGCCGAGGGCATCGGCAGCTCCGAGGCGGGGCAGTCGCCGCAGGAGCGCCAGGCCGCCTTCACCGTGACCTGGGGCCAGGGCCTCTTCGCGGAGGTCGCCGACGTCGATTTCGAGGAGGGTGGGAAGGCCGAGCTCGAGCGGATCAAGGCTGGGCTCGAGGAACTCAAGAAGCAGTTCGACACCAAGGAGCCGCAGGTCAGGGAGCTGATCGAGCGGGCTCGCACCGCCCGCAGGTTGCAGGAGGAGCGGACCAGAAGAAGCGCAAGGGCGACAGCGGCCAGGCTGCCCCCGCCCCCCCTGCCGAGCCGACTGGCGCCGCTGGCGCAGGCACGGGCGCAGGGGAGGCGGCTAGCGGTGGCGACGGCGCCGCCCATCAAGCAGCCGCGGCGGCAGCCGCTGCGGAGGAGGCGCTGAAGGCTGAGGCGACGAGATTATCGGCAGCACGATTCACCGCCCAGCAGGCGATCGGCAAGGGCAAGGGCGGCAAGGGCGGCGGCGTCGGCAGCCAAACGAGAGCCGCCTCATCTTGACTAGGTTCCGAACCCAGTCAAGCCGTCGCTCCTGGCGACGAGGCGGCTGCCACAAGCCGCAGTACCCGTGCAAGTACAATGTTCTACAGCAGCGTCACGTGCATGGGCGGCAAGTGTTGGGGGTACCTGGGCAGTTGCCCCGACGACTACACAGGCCTCGTCGGTACGCGCATCTCGTCAGCTGATGTGGGCAGCTGGCAGTCTCGCGCGAGGAAGGAGTGAGAGTGGTCTGCAATCACGCACGGCCTTCACGGCGTGGGCATCCTGACGGGTGGACTGGTGATTCGTGTGAATCGTCCGCAGGACATGCTAACGAGGGCGGTGAGTGGTTCCTTTCCAATGGGGCACTTGCAGACACACGTGCTGCACGAGGGTGTCCAGTCCGCAGCTCTGCAGGCTAGACCGTCCACCAGCGTGGACGGCTTCCCCTCAGTAGTGTTGCACTTTTGCGGCTCCTCTATAGTTGTTATTTTGTTCTACGGATTTTATAGTATAGGCCTCGCGGGCCCCAACCTCACGCGATTTCGAAGGCTCGGCAGCCTCCTGAGATCCCTCCAACTCCCCTGGGCCGTCGTCGGGGACTGGGGTGTCTCTCCACAGGTCCTGGCGGCCTCGGGGTTTTAGCAGCAAGTAGGAGGTGAGATCAGGTGCGCCGATGTAGATCATACCTGTAACCCTGGGGGCGGACGTAAGCCATCGCATTTGGGCTACGCGGTGCACTGCGCTGCTGCCCGTGCGTACGTCTCCCAGGTCACCGCGGTGCACGACGTGCCGTGGAAGCCACACTTTGTCTTAAGAATTCATTTCGTCGCCGGGGGAGAACAGTTGCTGACTCGCATTGTCGATCTCCCGCGGCGGCTCCCGAGCGTAGCCCGACCTGCTCAGGCCCCCACAGCAGGGTCCAAGTCTAGTTTAGCCAGGGCCAAGAGGGCCGAGCAGACTGCAAAGGCAGTCGAACGTAAAGAGAAACTTCATTCAGTTTTAGTTGGAGATTTGTGGACGGCCGACGCAGGCGATGAGCTCGAGGGCCAGTCCACGTGTGCCGACGATCGGTCAGATCAAGAATCGCAGGCCGAGTTCGAGTCCGGGGAAGATCCCTGGGCCGACGGAACTGTTTTACAGCGCCGTCGCGAGCCTCTGGTCGCGCCGAGCGTGGAGGAAAACCAGGCATCGGACCTCTCTCCACCCCCTGCGCATCAGCCTGCCAGCATCGATGTCGGAATGTCTCACTCAGCCCAGTGTGAGAGCCCCCACATACCTGCGGAGCCCCAGGGGTCGGAGTCTGCCAGCGCAGATAGCGCATCTCGGCCCAGTTTTGATATCCCGAAAGAAGTCTGGGATGTGCATCGTATGCACATAGGTCTGCTGCCCCCCCACTTCACTCGGCCTGCCGCTACTGCGGCATCCTCAGTTGCCTTTTCGCTCAAGCCTGATATCTCTTGTCAGCTCGGGCAGCTCTACGGCTCCTGGGTTGCACCAGTTGAGGCCGCTGTTCACGCACACCATAGACAGGTCCTCCTCGGTGGCTCCCGCGCAGAAGGGCCCGAGTTTCGAGTGGTACCAGTTCGGGGGCAGCAGAGCAAGCGGCGTGCAGCGCTGAGGGACTTCAGCAGTTCGTGGTGGACCAGGCTGCACGCCATCCTGCAGAACATCGGCAGGCACAGGGCGAGGGACAACGGGCAGCGGCAGCTGGACCAGCTCTACGCGTGCGTCGAGAAGCTCACGACCGACGTGCCCAGCCAGGTCCCAGGGCAGCTGCGGCATCGGGACGGAGTTCGGTGGGTTCAGCGGGCCGACTTCCTCGGCCGAATACGCGCTGCAGCCGACGTCGAGGTCGCGAGCTTCACCAGCAAGGCAGCTGCCGTCGCGCGCCGCGCGCAGCATCGGGCAGTGAGGAAGTCCCTCCGTGACTTCCGCGAGTGGGCCGTCACGGAGCCCGCCATCGGAGCGTTGCACAGGTCACTTCGGCCTCCGCATCTGCATGCTGAGTCTGTCGTCACCGAGGCGGGCACCATCGCCCACCCTCGTGACTTGATCGATCGGAAGGTCAGCACCTGGGCCGAGCTGTGGGCGCCGTGGGCCCCCCGACAGCGCTGGCCTGGGGGCTCTTTCGACGCCGTCCGACAGCGCATTCAAGAGGGGGGCCTGCCACCACTCACGGCGCAGGACGTGAGACAAGGGCTCCGGCGGCAGCGGGCATCCACTGCCATGGGCGCTGACAGGCTAAGGCCGACTGACCTCCGACTGACCTCCTCAGGCTGCCCGACCCAGCGCTTGAGGAGCTCGCCACCATCCTCAACCTCGTCGAGCAGACGCAGACTTGGCCCCACCAACTCCTCCTCACAGCGGGGCTACGAGGGCCAAGAAGGATGGGGGCGATCGTATCATTGGAATTCTACCAGAGATTGCCAAACTTTGGTCCATGTGCCGCGGGGACGCAGTGCAGGAGTGGAACACGGTGTTTCGCGCACTGGTACGCGGCGGCCAAGGGGAAATCAGCGCTGCGGGAGGCGTACCAGCGAGCATTGCATGAGGAGCTCGCAGCGTACGTCCAGACATCTCAGGCCCACGGCCTAGTAGACGTCGCGCAGTTCTACGACAGCATCGAGTGGTGCAGGCTGGGCGAAGAAGCGCTCGAGGTAGACTTCCCAGCGGAGGTCTTGGGCCTCGAGATCCTACAGTGCACCGCGCCCCGTGTCCTCACGCAGAGCGGCGCATGTGCGCTGGGCATTTTCCCCAGCCGATCGGTCGTGCAGGGCCTGCTGTCGGAGACCAGGTTCGCCGAGGTGATGACCTTCAGGGCTCTCAAGAAGATCACGGAGGTTCACTGGCGGCATTCCCATCGCATATGGGTCGACGACCTCTCTCAACGCATGCAGGGCTCACGACGGGCAATACGTCGGCACATGGTGCGGTGTCTAACCGACACGTGTGCTGAGCTCGGTGCAAGGGGGCTTAGCATTGCCAAGACGAGCGTCATCATCTGCTCGGACATGGATGACGCCAGGTTCATCGCGGGGGCCATGAAGCGCAGGGGCTACCACATCCATTGCAAGAGCCAGGCCAGCTACCTCGGCACCGACCTCGGAGCTGGAGTTCGACACGCCCGGGCCAACCGCACGCAACGGCTGACTCGACACGGCTTCATGCACAGGAAGATCGCGCGCCTGGCGCGGGCCACCAGAAGGTACCGCGTCACGGGCCGACTCGCCCAGCAGGGCGGACAGGCCGCGGGCGCATACGGTCACCAGATTCACGGAGTCTACTGCACGTCGCTGATGTTGTTCCGACGACGACTAGGCGACGCAGTAGGCCCTCGCCTACCTGGGCGGTGCCTGACCACTCTCCTCGACCTCAAAACGGAGCTGCGCGATCCAGCTCGACGTTTTCCTCGAGAGGTCGCCCAGGAATGGTTGGGGCACTGGGCACAGGCAGGGCCGCTACAGAAGACGATCCAGTTCACATGGCGCAAGGTTGTCGACCACTTCCGAGCCATGCCAGCACAGCAACGGGCCAGACATGTACGAGGACCCCAGTCAGCCATCGTCATCTATCTGCTCGAGAATGGCTGGGACCCTGTACAGCCCAACGAATGGAGGCTACCAGGGGCCCTCGCCGACGGCACTGACACGTGGGAGTTCAAGACGGAGGCGCTGTCGGGGAT